AGCCGAGCAGCCCAGAGCCCGGCATCAGCTCCGTGCTGGAGGCAGCTGCAGGCGCGGGGTGGGGGTAGCACAACCCCGGCGCCTCCGCCCAGGGGGCGCTTGCAGCCGCGCGCCTGCCCGTGTCCGCGGTAGGGCGCAGGGACCGGCCCAGCTCCGCTCCTCCCCCGCTGCCTGCATGAGGCCAGCACGTGCCGATTCCTGCAAAGATTTGAAGATCGCGTATTATTTAGTTTATTTTGGTTTGTAAAATTATTTCAGATTTAGCTTTTGCTCTCTCTCTCACTCGTTTGTACCATTCAGTTTACTTTGCTCTGTTAAATCGATTCTTATTCAGCTTTTGCTCTCTCCATATTAACCAGTTCATGTTCAGCTGTTGCCCTTTCCACATTAATCAGTTTATTTTGCTCTTTTACATCGATTCCTATCCAGCTTTTGCTCACTCAAAACAGTTCATATCATTCAGTGTATGTTGCCCGTTTAAGTCATTTCTTATTCAGTTTGTCAGTCTCTTAAACCAGTTCATCTTTTTCAGGTTTTTTACTTTATTGAAACAGTTCAGTTTATTTTGATCTCTGCTTCGCATTCCTAGATTTAAACACTTCGTATTGCTCACTTCTTTGTGTGCTTTTCTGCTCTCTGCTTGTCTCCCTGGAAATACCCAGATTTACACACAGCTCATTATTCAATTCTTTCTGATTTTCTGCTTTCTGTCTTCCTGTTTACAATGTTTGTGCTGCCTTTTGGGTCTTTTTGCTATCCATAGTTATGTATCTATATGCCTTCCTGCTGTAAAATTTCCTGAAGTTCGCACAAACCAAAGTTAAGATATTCTAAAGTTTCAAGTCTCATCATGAAGAGAATTGTATGGTTTTGTGCAGCAAGGGGGTTGTGTTTGTAGTCTGTACAGTGGAAGTGTGATATCTCATGTTCCAGTGTCCAGCGCCATTTTGCAACCAAGCACAGAGCCAGATCTTCTGGAGTCATGGAGCAGACAAACATGAATCCATTAGAAAAGTGTTGATTTGTTTAAAAAACAGCCAGCCAGCTTTCCTAGTTGTGCAACTAGAAATACTTTTTCCACATAGGCAAGTTACATTGCAGCTGTAGCTATAGCTCGGCAAGGCAAGAGTCTTACAGATGGAGAATACTTAAGGATTCTTTCTTAAAATGTGCTGAGGATCTATTTCAGGATTTCTGCGAATAAGACGGACATGATTGCTCGTATTGATGAAATGCCATTGTCATCCAGGACTGTTCAAAGGCGAATAGATGAAATGGAAACTAATGTTAGGGAACAAATGACTTGAGACCTCCATGCTTGTGATGTGATGAGCCTTGACCTGGATGAAAGCACAGACATAACAGATATCCCCCCCCGTCTTGCTATCATTGTTCGATATTTTATCCCTGGGGAAGTTCAGGAGGAATTGTTTTCTTTGAGTGCTATGCATAGCACTCAACAAAGATATACTTAATGCTGTCAAAGATATTTTCACATGGCAACAAATTGACCTGCACAAAGCCTTCTCTGTTATCACTGATGGCGCACCTGCTATGGCGGGTAAAACAGCTGGATTTGTAAAGCTTCTGGAAACTGAGATTGGATGTCCTCTTATGAATTTCCATTGTATTATTCATCAGGAGAGCCTGTGCCGTAAGATCTCATCTTCCGATTTAAATGAAATCATGACAACAGTTGTGAAAATTGTCAACTTTTTGATTGCCCACTGCTCTCTGACACACAGGAGATTCTGTGAACTTTAAATTATATGGATTCTGCATATGGAGATTTAGTGCTGCACAGTAATATATGCTGGTTGAGTCGAGGCAACATGCTCAAGCGATTTGCTTGTCTCAAATCCTTCAAGCTGTTTCTTGAGGAAAGTGGTCAGCAATATGCAGACCTTACTGATGACAGATGACTAACAAAACTGATGTTTTTGACAGACGTCATATCACATTTAAATGATTTGAATACTAGGTTACAAGGAACACAGGAAACCATCCTTCAGCTGTCTGAAGGCTGGAAAGCTTTCTGTGATAAGTTGCCTGTTTTCAGATGAGATATCGAAACATCTGCCTTCCGTTACTTCCCCAGACTGAAAATCCATTCCGTGCAGCATCAACTGAATGATAGGGATATGTGCAACTACATAGGACATCCAGAAGGTAAGTTCACAAGACTATTCCAAGACTTGCAACAGGGGACCCATGTTTTCATTTGTTGTGAACCCAGATAGTACAAGGGAAAGTGATATATATAGAACTGCAGTATTTTCAGTGGATGAATACTGAAGGATTTGAATTGGAACTGACTGATTTTCAAAGCTCATGCATCTGGGTATCAAAGTTCAAATTGCTGCAAGGTGAACTTGAGAATGGAAGGGACTGGCAACTCAAGATTACAGCATGTTGGTCTTCCCGTCCTGAAAAGTATGCCTGCATGAGAAAAGTAGCTTTTGCCTTGCTGTCTGTCTTTGGATCTACTTACCACTGTGAACAAGTGTTTTCACAATTGAAAACCATGCTCAGTCTTGTGAGAAAACCATCTAACGACTGACAATTCAGATTCGTGTTTGACAACCAGCTACCAACCTAACATCACCAAACTCAGCTGTCAGAAGCAGGGCCAAGGCAGCCACTAAGAAAAGATCTTTTACTTGAGAGCATTTTACTTGTTTATGGCAGTGAATACAGAGCATCTATTTTAAGGAATTAAGCAAGTCTATCCTTAAAGAACCAACATCTTCCATGGCAACATCTCTTTGGAGAGGTATGAGCGTGGTGTAGGGGTGGAGCCATGTGAAGACCCAGAATATGATCTTTCCAAGCCTTACTGTAAAGGCCTAAGACAATCAGGTGCCAAGCCCTGTCTCTATTCTACCTACAATTTAAGGCCAAGGTGTGGTGGATGAATAAAGAGAAGACAGGAGTAGGGTAGGTAGGAGTGGGGTAGGATCCTGTGACCAATCCATGCCTGGAAAGGAATGAATCCTGCCAATTTGGGGTAGTGGGCATATTTCACTGATTAACAGACAACAACTGCAGCTGCTTTGTTCTCAACCAAGAATCTCCTGCTCCAATATTGGTACATGAATGATGCAAAAACCCAACTCCACCCCTCAAGCGATCATGATACATTTTGTCACCTAATGCCTACATTCTACAATAGTAAAAATAAAGTTTAGGTGTCCCTTGATCACTGATAAAAACAAACAAAAAACACAGCTGTGATGCCTCCGAACCCAACAGGACTGGAAAAACTTGTATCTCATACTTGGATCATAACAATTTGTAACCTCTCCTGTCCAACTTCTGTCATGTAAACCAGCAATTCCCAAAGAGTTGCCTATGGGTCAAATATGGCCTATGAATCCCCTTGATGTTGCCCACCATCCAAGATTACCCCTTTGTAATGGCCCTTCAGAGGCAAAACTTTGGGAAGCCCTGATCTAAATAGGGGAAAAAAAGTGTAAACACCTGGACTGTGCCAAAAGCTCTAAACTCTGTTGTAGGTTAGTGCAGCAGCAGCAACCCAGAAACATGCAGCCAGGACCTGGGTTCAGTGAAATTTAGTTTTTATTTGAAACTTACAAGGATATAAAAGGGTGGATCTGCTCTGTTCCCCTGCAAAATTCTAGAGCTGCTGGATTCTGCCATTTTCTGGCCTCTTATCTCAGAGTTTGCTATCAATATGAACACTTGTTGCTGACTTTGCTTGACCAGAGAAATCCAGTACCTAACAGACACACTGCCATGCCAGAACAACACAAGAACTTGCAGGGCGAGGTCCCATACTGGTTCCAGCCGATTTGGGGTTTCAAATTATCTAGTTTGTATTGCACAAATTGTAGAAGAGCTATTATGAAAATGTTGCCTTAACTACATTCTGGCACAGGAGCAGCTTATCTGCCCTTTTACATCAGATAACGCTTTCTAAAGCATTGTGATCTTTTCAAAGCAGTTTGCCCACTTTGGGTACACACACCTCTCGCTTAATACATTTACAATGGAAGATAAATATTTAAATCCCTCAGAGTGCTTTGAAAAAATCTGAGTAAGGAGCTGATTAGCTAAAAGCAGGTATCATCTAATCACTCATATCTACAAGACTAGTTTGGCTGCAAAATATTAAAGTTATGGACATATTTAGTAAAAATTAGGGTACATGCCGTGTTTTTGTTTCATTGAAACTAAGTGTTGAATATACATGCATCTGATGTGAAAGGATTAGTAGGCAAAAACTGCAAAGATCTAGCCAGTTTCAGCTTCCACCTTTCTCCTTTCCTTTCCTTTCCTTTCCTTTCCTTTCCTTTTTCTCTTCATTTCATTTCATTTCGTTCACATATGTACCAGGATTGCATACTTGTAAGTGCAGGAGGAACTAGATTTATTATCCATTTCAGTTCTACCACTTGAATTCTTGGGGTCAAAAATAATCAGGCATCAGGAAATTCCAGATTTTACTTTTCTCCTTTTAGGAGGTTGCTGCAGTCATCCCTTTCACTGCCAGTCGGATCTGCCTCATGAAAAATCATCTCAGGAAAGGAAAGAATCTGTTACAGGAGACTCATTCCACACACTTGCACTTATGGAATAAAGTCATAAAGTTGTAAATACTTCTTTCCTACAAATTGTAGTCTTATCCTCCTGTCTTCTTTAAAGTGACATTATCTGTCATCTGGGGAAAAGGTAAGGTTTTGGGCACCATTACTGATCTTTGGCATGCAGGTTCCACCAATCCAAGGGACAATATTTCCTGCACAGTAGGGAGACGTGGAGAGAGAGTGCTTGTTGATATACCAGTACCTCACCAAGCCCACTACCCGCCCCCCCCCCCACACACAATCGAGTCACACAGGCAATAAGAAAAGTGTGTGTTGATAATTTGATGTTATAGATAATTTAATCTGAACCTAGCAGTTTAAAAACCATTATGCAGAATTATGCGTTGCAGACGTATGAAAGGTATCATAAATTTTTAATTAGAAAATGTGTTCACTTAAATTATATACAAGCTGTCCCTCTGCCATGCATCATTTTTTGTAAAATTTTATTTGTCCCTCAATTAGAAGCTGTCATAGATGTAGGATGATTCCTAACATTTGTTTTTTGTGGTATTTTCTCTCAATACGGCACCACAGAGTGGCAAACTAGATTATCACAATGCACTGATAGAATTATTCCAATGGCTTTTGTTTGAGAGGATATGCACATGTCCTAAATATTTATAAAGCCTTTAAATTATACCGTAATGCAAAGACTGGTAGCAGAATAGTTAAGGTGGCTTACTATGGCTCTAGTGATATGCGTTCAAGTTTGATCTTGAACTTATACCAAAAGCCATACCCTAGTTAACACAGC